CTAAATTGCGGTGATGATGTGTAAATACAGGTTGAGTCAGAAGTATGTTTACAAACTTCGCGTGCGTGTTCCAGGATCAAAAATAAGAAAAAAATGTTCCTATGAACATGGGATCGCAAATGTTTCATTTTCGAAATAATAGCCAAAAATAAGTTTCAATGAATTGACTTTATATCAAAGTGAATCCAGCTTCCAGCAAATATTTTTAATTAAAATTTGGACAGGAATTGTTGGCGACATGCATATTGGTCTACACATACTTCCATCGCGTCTAAGAGGACCTTCATATCAGTGATTCTTAAGAAGACACTTGTCACGTCTCCTTCAAGATGTACCACTGAATACAAGAAGACAAATGTGGTTTATGCACGACGGAGCCCCAGCACACTTCTCCCGTCGCGTCGGAGACTATCTCAATGAACAGTACCCTCAGCGATAGAGTGGGCGTGGTGGCCCAGTATCATGGCCCCCGAGGTCACCGGACCTGACTCCATTGGACTTTTATCTGTGGGGTCCCTTAAAGTCCGTCGTTTATGCAACACCCACAAACAATGATGACCTATGGGTACGTGTGTAGAATGCATTCCAGATGATTCGAGGAAACCCTGGTGTGTACGAACGAATCCGTCAGTCTTGTGTACGTCGTGCTCGGGCATGTGTGGAGAATGGAGGAACAACTTTTGAGCATCTGTTATAAAGAAACATCCCTGTCCTTATACTTGGCAATAAAGGCATACATTGAAAATTATTTTTGGCTATTATTTGGAAAATGAAATATTTGCGACCCCGTGTTCATAGGAACATTTTTTCTTATTTTTGATCGTGGAACACGCACACGAAGTTTGTGAACATACTTCTGACTCACTCTGTAGAGTAAAAATATCTCTTGGGTATATGTTAGAAAAATATTTAATTTACCTTTGCCATTAGTATTTAAGTATAGATAGACGATAAAATAAAAGAGAAACCGCTTGAACATGGAATATCACCTGATGATGACAAAAATGTTGCAGTATATTAATATAAAAATATATGTTTTTGTGTTGACTGACATATACTCTATTTATATAAAAATGTGTAAACACTTTCCCTCGAAAAGGAATGAAAAAGTCAAAAGCCCTGAGTTGAAGTAAATATTGGAAGAACGTTACCCGAATGGTCTGCGGTCTGATCCTCCTACTTCATCCAACATCCCGAGTTCTTAGCCCCTCTTCTGGGACGTCTGACGAAAATCACATCCGTGTGTGTAAACCGGTTGTGGTACGAGACTGCACTGTCCGGCGTGTTCCAAGCTCTGTTCTGATTTCTTGAATGTTTAGGTTGTTGGGGGAGGGGCGTTTACTCAGTTGAGTGCCTTATAAAAGATACTCGTTATGATTATTAATTGGGTAGTGTCCTCTTGTTAACAAATAGGTACTGCTCACCACCACGTATTTCATACTGTCGCCATCATGTTACATCCTCTTATAACAATTAGTTTTTTGCTGGTATTATTTTTGTTATATGCACGTTTACAAATTTGGTATTAAGGTGGCGGAGTCATTTACACTGGCTGGTTGAGACGGCGTCCAGATACGAATAGCAGCTACAAATATATTTAATAAGCTTTCGCGGACAGTCCGCAAACGATGGTCCTCCAGACTGCAGGTCAGACACGGAATTAACACATTAATGAAAATACGTAAATATGAAAACCTAAATATTAAAATATACTCAGCTACAGTTTTATCAGTCAGGGTAGCCGATCTTATGGCCGAAATTTGAAACGAGGGTCCTCCCGAACACAAAGCAAGAGTGACAATTATTTGGCAGCCCCGTTGGATAATTAAAAGATCGATCTTTCCATAAAGTCGTTTCTCACAATAATTAAATTATTTATTTATTTATAAATTAGTTATACCTGTCTTATCGCTACGGTATACATAATTTGTATGCCACATTGTGTTTGTTTTTTGTATAAACATTTTACCCTCTCCTCTGTGTTATTGGTATCTTGATACTGGTATAGAATAATTGAGAGTAAGAAATGACAGTGATTATATAAATGCTAATTTTAATCAGAGAGGCCGAACAACCATATATTTTTAAGATTACCGACTTGTTTAACCCGAAGAAAGTCTACCCAGAATCATTGAACACAATGTTACGAATAGTTTAAACATTGGGACACGTCCTTTGACAGATGCAATGGATGGAGGGTTACAGAATAGTTGAGTCGGTTTTTCCCGATGGGACAGGTGGGAGTTAAGGTGAACCTGGTCCTCAAGGGACTATCCTGGGGGTTGAAGGGTTGCGAACGGAGGTTTAGATGTTGTTTGGCTCGAGTTTTTCACTTGGGTTCAAGAAATGTCGCGTAAACATTTCTTTCCTTTTCAATATCTGACAACAACGATTTCCTTTCGATGTCTTAGTACATGCAGTGGACACTAAGCTCCATCTTGACACCGCAGCGTTGTAGTTGGCAGAGTTCCGTCTGACATCTTTGCTTTATACCAGTGTTTCTCGAATTTTTCCATGTCACGAAACACGGAAATGCGTTATGTATGCTGTCTCACATACACCCAGTAATGTATTATTATAAAGTTGAACGCAACTGTAATTTCCCGTCTCCGACAGGAACTGATAGAACAAAGTTAAATCGATTTCATTGTTTTAACGGAGTGATACTTGTCTCAAATCTGGAAAACCTTGTAACGATGGGCTCTTGAGTCATGCAGTTCTTACCGGGAGCTGGGTAGTGACGGTTGCGTTCAACTTTATCAGTGGACGCATGCACTTATTCGGTTTGACACAGGAGAATCGGAAAACGTATTGCGAAACTCATTCTGGAATTTTAAGAACGAGATGGCAGGTATTTTTCGAGAATAAACACCACTTGTACTTGTAAAAAATACATCCTTTGTAGAGTCAAATTGATGTTATGTGTTTATTAATACAGTAAAATTATATTAAAATATAACTATCAATAAATATTGTAATGTGGGCTACGTGGCTTTTTGATCATCCAGTACAATAGTTATGAAACACAGCTAGTCATTATTTTTCTACAGTGAAATCGTAACATTTGCGCATGTTATGTTAAAAAGAAAGGGAGGAACACAGATTGCAGGTGTTTGAGAATCAGGTGTTGAGAAGGATATTTGGGCCTAAGAGGGAAGACGATGGGGCGTGGAGAAATCTGCACAATGACGAGCTTAGAAATCTGTACTCCTCCCCCAGTATTGTCAGGGTGATTAAGTCGAGAAGAATGAGATGGGCTGGGCATGTAGGGCGCATGGATGGGACAAGAGGTGTGCACCGGGTATTGGTTTTGAAGCCTGAGGGGAAGAGATCGCTGGGGAGACCTAGACGTAGATGGGAGGATAATGTCAGGCAGGATCTATGGGAAATAGGAGTTGAAGGAAACTGGATTTTGTTGGCCCAGGACAGGGTCCGGTGGAGGGCATTGATGAGTTCGGTGATGAACCTTCGGGTTCGGTAAGCCATCTAGTTAGTTATATTAAAAAGAAGGTTGAATTGATCGCACTACTATTTTGAATTACTTTATATGCGGATATTCGAATTCAAAATGTCGCAGTAATCAGTTAAACAATGTACTATAGGACAACACGCGTAATATTCATACGTCTTCTTTTTCTAGTTTTTTTTTGTGTGTGTGTTTATGAAGAGAGACTACGAGCGTATTCGACTTCTTTGCGAGATTTACCGATATCTCGTGGACAGCGCGAAAAATGAATTTTGATAATCTTTCTGCTGCTATTCTATCTGCGTGGATGTATTTTATCTCTTATAGAAAATATATGCAAATTCTGTGTAAAATAACCACTTTTATATTATAGTGACGTGCAATCTGCATCCTTTGATACATTTTAAAATTTCCATTTCAGCTGATTTTACCGTGGTAACATTTTAGCTCTTTTAAAACTCGAGTTTCACTCTGATAAAGTAGAGTATGAACTGTCTGTACTTTATAAAATCTAATTAGTGTTTTATTTCTTGCATTACTTCCTCCTGTCTGCTTCGGACGCTGGTGATAAAGACCAAGTTTATCTAACTGGCCTCACAGAGTATGTACCAGAACAATTTATTTGGAGACAGACTCTGTGATTGCAGTACCTTAAAAATAAGAACTATTCTTTCCGCATTTTATCGTTTTGACATGCAGTAGGCCTATAAAAGTTAAAAGGAATGAATAAAAGAATGTGGGATGTACAATTTTATAAGCAAATTATTGTCCATAGACAGATATCTGATAAATATATATCTTATATGGGCGAAATGCTACTATATTGAAGTTTATGGAATTAATTTAGGTTTTGGTTTTTTATATATGGGAACAGATTTATATAACTAAAGCACTGTAAATGATATGGAAGGAAGTGGTCGTGGCCTAGATTAAGTTGATATCATGATATTTGCCTCGAGGGACTGGTACAAATTACGAAATAATAACCGGGTTTTTCTCGTCGAGGTTTGAACTAGTTATCTCCCTAATACGAAGAAGTCCTAACCAATCGACAGTGACGTTTGTTAAGACAGTTTTATGCTCGCTTCCGCTGTGTTTAAATGGGCGCGGAAATAATATTTCGTTGTCTCCTGTAACGGCTTGTTTTGGAGGGCTTGTGTTTGTATGGAAAGGAACCGGAAGTGATTAAATAGAAGAGGAATTGCTACAGGAAGGACACATGAAAGGAGCGTGTGAACAATGGGGCGAAGATGATAAGGAGGGTGGAGATGAGTTAAAAAAATTATGCCCCGTTGACTTTAAGCGGTTTGTTTACTGCAGTATAAAAAATACAGTTTTAAGTTACCGTAATGACCAAGGTATGTCTTCTTCAGTCAGTCAATGTGGTCACGCAATGCTACAGGCATCTGGGACGGCAAGTTCCAAGGCTACCCGAATGTGGGACAGCCGAGCCGTTGATCCACTTCAAAGGACAGTGCATTATGCACGTCTGTTTGCATCAGCTCTTGTGACACTAATCCATTCTGTTGTGCAGATGCGCCTGAGATCGAGGTGGAGAGAGGTTGGGTCCACTCTGGGGAAGGCAACGAAGCACAGCTCGCCTGCATCGTCCACGCAGAACCACCCGCTGAGGTGAGTACACCGCCCATTTAAAACACGCAGAAATTAATCCTGCTGTGCTAAATGAACGTTGAAAATGCTACAGATGAATGTTAGTCCAGAAAATGTCATCGACAGTCATCTATTGTCTTTCTGACCTTCTTTTGCGACAATTATTCAACATACACATGCGACATGTTTGATTGAATTTTTTCCCCCACTGATATCCATAGATGAATGTTTTGTCAAGAAATGAGACCAGTATTTCAGTTCCACTAGAAGCTGTTAACGATAAATTTTACGTCAGGTGAAACAAGTACTGGTTTCATTTGTTGTTCCAGACGTACAATTAAATTGTCCTTTGTTTTCGATGCTTAAGTTTAACGTGTAACTTCGGCTTCCGAGTGTGAGCAACGCCTAGTTTTTAAAGTCGTTTGGAATCCTGCCTCAGATAAACTAAGGACAGACAATTACGACACAAAAACCAGCTTATACAAAGATTCATACTAGTGTGGTAAGATGTATATCGGTCAAATGGACCTTGACTTCTCCAGTGGAATTTCTGAATACATTATATACACGGTGTCCGATGAGTACATTGTGACAAAGCAGGCATTGACTTTGACAGAAGTCCTATTCAACATGCGGATTAAGATAAAAGCCATTTAAATAATGAAACATGTCCATACCTTCAATCTAAGGGGCATACAGACTAAGCAAACCCTGGATTTAATTTTTTTTTTCCGAATCTTCCACTTAACCTACCTTTCCAATAAAAACATGCTAAATAACATCCGTGCAGACGGACAGAATATGAACAATCGCAGGAAAAAATAAGAGATTAGAAGTGGATTAATCTCGTGCATGAACATGTACAATTGCTGGTTTTGGTATTTAAGAAGTCAGATGATTTTTTAAGTAGTAGTTTTAAATCAAAATAGACACCCAGAGCTACGTAGGGAAACTAACATTGAACACGTTATTCCGACGTGCAGAATTACTGAGACATAACCAGCATTGAAACGAATTTAATCTAAAGGTTTAATGAACTTTCAATATATGATTGTATTTTTCTTCTTCGGGGGCGGGAATGGGAATGTTGGAAAACCTGAACATTGTCTGCTATGGACATTTACTTAATATATCTTAAAAATCATATGTGAGGTGTTAAATCGTAGGATACTGCTAATAGACGACTAATTAGTAAATTATGTCATCAGCCACATGGGCCGGAGAGGTTGAATTATTTTTTTAGCAGCTGTTAATTTGTATACTCCTATATGGAATGATTAGATAAATTTCATGCCTCTGAGCCGATTATCTACCTACATTATTTTTTCTTTCTTTCTGATTTTGCTTTTGGGATCAGAAACTTGATTTCTTGTATTAACAGTGTTTTGTTCTGAGTTGTGTTTACAGATAAATCCTGTTTCTTTTGAAAGGAACACATACATTTATTTCTCCTCCTTTTATAAACTGCCTCTTCCTCTGCTTAAGAACTTTTTTCCTTCTGTATCACGTATGCTTGTCCTTTTTCAATGCCGAAGCCTCAACATCAGTTCGTTAGTTCGCTGGTGTGACACCAGCTCGCGCCACGTTTGTCGCCGTCAGCTGTCCACTTTGTCAGCTATGGTGACTCCCCACGCTTGGCAATTCCCTTCCACCCCTTCCATCCCGCAATTTTTAATGTTTCCACTCTTTTGTGCCAGTGTGCCATGTCGTCACCTTTAAAGATAACGTAAGCCTCTCTGTGTTATGGGTTTTCTAATATATTTAATAAAAGACTCTCTTTGCAGCGAAGATACATGAGTATTACCTTTTAAAGGTCAGTGGCAATTATATTTATCTTGGTTTAACAGTTGGTAACTTTGCATTTTCTGTTTCTGTGTAGGTTTCGTATGATTCTCAGAATAAACTGTGAATATTTCCTTAAACAGCATTGAAAAGTTTACTTTTGTCATGGTGAAGTATTGCTTTCTTTGAGGTACGGCCTGATTTCTTAAATATTATTACACGAGCTTTGGTTTCAAAGGATTAAATATCAGACAACTTACGATTCGGTAATGTAGCATGCTATTATGTTCACTAATTATTTTCGCTTTTAATCACCGTCAATTTCACACACACAAAATTGTATGTTAAATTCAGCTTCTTACCCTATTCCTGAAATGTCCACTGACGTCAAAACTTGTTTCTGAACTGCATGTTTCTAGTATAAAAGTCATCTTCAAGATTATCAGTTGTACTCAAGTCACTGCACTGTGAATGTAGATAATTGTAACTGTTAAATTAAATCATTCACATTTTAAGACATGAAAATTATGGAAGTAATTTATAGAATATATAAAATCCAAGGCAGTTTAGTATTCGCTATTTTTTTATTTTGTCGTACATATCTGTGCTTACTATTCGATATCCTTTGTGGTATGGAACGAGAAATCCTGTCTCGTTTTAAAGTAGATCTGCTATCACAGAATATCGCTTGAGTTAACGACGGCCAGGAATAGTCAACATTCCTTTGGGTTGGGGAATAAATATAGGACTTCCAGAACGCGGTACTGAATTGCCAACCACTATACCTTGATATTATGTTCTGAAGAGAAAATGACATTATTTCGCTAGCGATTATATTAATAGAATATTATACTTGTCGCTGTCTTGCGCTCGATTGCTACGTTAATGATGAAGGTGAAGCAGTCTGCCTTAATTGCTTCAGGGAGATCTGAGCAAGTTGAAGGTTTAGAGAATCCTCCACTTCTGCTAGTTAAGTCGTCAGAACAAAGAGCGAACGGCAAGGAAGTGATATGGGGTTAGATGATAAAATTTAATTGAAAATGTGGTTTGTTTCCTGCAGTCATCAGATTAGCAAACAAGCAATTTCTCTTCCACACTGATAAAACTCTAGGACACGTCATATCCCTTTCAGACTTTTAACAATAAGGTACCTTAAAACTCAGGACGTAATTTATTCTCTTCACATCAAAATAACTGCTGTGTAACAAGGAGTTTTGTAATCACTGATCTTCTCAGAACATTTTTTTAGAAGATCAAATTAAGGATCGTAAGATGAGCAGAACATGTAGCACGAATGGGTAGATGAGAAAAGGTCTATATTAAAATAATTAAACGGTAAATTTCGTTGGGGAAGATACCACTTGGGAGCTCTGCCATAAAACAAAGGATATAAAATTTTAAAATCAATACAAATATTGTATGAGAATGTGGACTGGATTTAACTCATTCAGAATATGGACCAGTATTTGGCTTTTGTGAACCTGATAGTTAACATTCGGGTTCCATAAAACGCTAACTTTTTACCACTTTAATTAATATAACATTTTTTAGCAAAGACTCGGCTTTATGGAGGTTATTTCGTTTAAGTTTTGATGTTAATTTCCTCGGAGTGTTGGTGTAGTTGAGAGTTGTTTTGTCAGCGCTGTACCAGAGTACGTAACACCTTCTGTGTCAGCCAGCCAGCGAGCCATGATGGAGAGGCGTAGTTAGGTGTCGGATATAAACTGTTGCACACCCTTAGTCCATCCCCCGGTTTGCTAAAAGCCGACAGTAATTTGCGTTCCTCTTCATATACGCAGTCTACGTTAACTATCTACGTTTTAGTTTGCAACTTAGAAATGTAGGGACTGAGTGAGGGAGTAAGATAGTAGTAAGTGAGAAATTACTTCACAAAGAGACCCACCCTGCTTTCTAAACCAAAATTGTGTTTAATAAGCACTGTGTGTTATTACTCATTTGCAACAGAAACATTTTCAAAAGATTAATTTATTCATTTATTATGCTGAATTGCCAGATTGACACATAGTGTTGCGGTTAAAAAATATGGAATTTACGAATTTACTAATTTACTGCCCTTCCTATGAAGATTCCAAAAGATGCAGATTCCTGCACTGTATTCGGGATTTTCCAACATCGGTTTTGGCTCTGCTGACGTGCTGAAATAGTACGTAAGAACAGTAACTGTTTCTTCCAGATCCTTACCAAATTATCATCCGTAATCATCCTACCATTCCAGGCGAAAAAGCATATGTGATTGAGACATAAGCATTAAATAGTAGAAGAAATAAACACGTTTATTTTTCAAAATAATGCCTGTCTTACGTTTTTTGTGTATGAATATATTGCGTCAACCGCCACTGATACCCATCGTTATAAGAGCAACACCTTGAATGATACATCGCCCTTGGCTTTTAAGGTTTGATGTAGGAAGGCCTTTCAGAGTGGTGAAGGATGTCGCAGATATTTTACAAGTTCCATCACAGTGTCCAATGAGAGTTTTTCTAAACCGCCTTCGCTCTGGATATTTCTGGAAGCTGCATTTCCATAAGCCGAGACGTATTCATATTTATGGTAAGGAGTGGGTATAGCGTTATGAAGGGAAGTTATGTTTGTCCTTTCCCTAGCAGTCCCTGGAGTATGACATCTCTGTACGGCAAAGGATTAGAGAAGGTTGTCAAACTTCGAAATGTCAACTTAAAAAAATCCCCTAGAAAAGGTTATTTTCTCGTCACAGGTAATGTATTTTAAGACGACTTATTTCGTACCTAAAGATGAAGGATTGTAACACTTTTAAAAGTTAATTCTGAAGCTTAATTTCAAGTATTTTCATTGTGATCGTGTGCTGTAAAATCATTTGTGTGTAATAAACATTTTTTTAACGCTGTGTGGCCTTTGATATCGAAAAGTTTACTGATAATGTAGGCCAAAAATTAACCGGGGAGGACGGTCTCGAAATAATGCCCACAACATATTATGAATGTTTATCCGGAAACGCATCAAGCCGCCACAAGTCAGTAAAAATCCAATCCTTCATTTGGTAGACAATTCGAACCGAAGAGTGGTTTCAGGTGCTGTTTAAAATGACCTTTACTCTTACGTGGGCATATTTGAGGCTAAACTAGTACTTGCTCAAATACGTGGTACTCGAAAAGTCACCCAACCCTTATTAAAACATATATTTGTGATTGCAGGTCAATAAAATTTGACTGCATTAATAAACACAGTAACGCTGTGACTTA